GTCATACAGCTGCTCCATAAGGGACAGCTCACTGCCAGCATCAGAAACCCCAAACTTTACCTTAAGAGCATCCCATAACTCTTTGCCTGAAGTGCAAGATATGTAGTTTTTCTCATACTTGGGATGAAGTGCACAAATCACGGCGCCTCGAAACAGGTTATCGGCAGCCAAGAACTTTCACTCCTCCTTAGGAGTAAACTGTTCAGGCTTTCCCTATGCGGCGTGATAGCAGTTCATCGTAGTCAACCACAATACCATCTTTGCACGCCATATCATAAAATTCTTGCCATCAAAATTATTTGGCTTCAAAGCAGCAAGAAAACCACCAATAGAAAATTGCCTAACATTAGGTTTTTGGATTGTTAGATATTTAGGCATTTTCATTATCAGTTTAATCCAGAAATATAACATCAGCAGATTTGTGACGGCATATATGTGCATGTGTATATTTCTTATGAATGCTACAGCATGCATAGATGACATACAGATCGATACAGTAAAAATACAAAATATAGTAATCACAGAGATTAGACTGTACCCAGTGGAGGGTCCCATGTCGAGGGCATCGGAGGCTCCATTCGCACTAGTCGACATAGTGCGTTGCTCGAAGTCACAGACCACAGTCGATGCAGGAAGATGTTCGCAGTGCAGTCCCACGAGCGGATCACCAGGAAGAAGACTCCTTGAGGTTCCAGGGAGAAGACGGATCCAAGAGCGATCTCCAGCAAGAAGAAGATGGATGAACAGTTGTGGATCGCCCCCCAAAAACCTAATCGCCGCTCACCCCGTGCAGGATTCTCAGGCGGCCGAGGGTTCCGGAGGCACCTGCTCTCCCGCTCCTCCGTGTGCGCAGAGGTACGGGACAGGGAAGTCAGAAGGCTGCTGATCTGTGGTTCTCTTGGGAGTGGTTTCGGAAGACGGGGGCTGGACTGATGGAAGCCAGGAAATATATGGCTGCTGCGGGGAAGGGAGAGAGACAGCGGAGAATTCCAGGAGACGGAAGCGGAAGCGGAAGGATCGGTAACTGACGCAATCAATTCGCCTCCACCATCAAAGGGAGTAACTTCCATGATTATATGGATTAACTGGCAAAAGACTAGCCACGCCCGCCCGCTCGCTCGCCGCCCGCCTCACCACGCCACACCACGCCCATGGCCTCGGCCTCGGCCCGGCCCGGCCCACGCCCACGCCCACACCCACGGCCATGGCCCGGCCCGGCCGGCGGTGGCGGCGGCGCGCGCGCACGCGTGTGGCACGCCTTTATCCTTTTCTCAGCTTCTCAGTTTAGATGAATAATTTCCAACCATATAAGCTGAGTCAGCGTTCAGTCAAAATCTCGTATGGTATTAAGCCATACAACACTTAATATTACGTACCAAACAGTTTTATTTGATTTATTAAATATTATATGGGCCAAGCCCATATTATATCCAACAATCCCCACCAAACTCTAGGGTTTGTAACAAAGTAGTTTTAGAATCACATTTCTTTTATATACCAGTGTTTCGATGGAGACTGTTAAGTTGAGCATCCGTCTAGAACAATAGTTTCACTCAGTCACAACTGAACAAGGGACTAAGCCTTGAATTGACAGTTTTGTGTGAGTTGAATGTTACTGAAGTCCTTAGCTGATACTGGACAGCAAAAGACATCACCTCTATTTGAAGCATATAAGTCATACTTCAGTACCTTTCATGAGGATTTAGAGATCACCCAAATCTCATAGACTGTGACCAGCAGTCTGACTCATATAGGTGTGTTCCTCAAAAGATGTTATGTAGGACAACATCTTTGCTTTGACAAGCCACTTGGAACACATTAAGACAAAAGCCGGCCTGCCTTACAGAAAGGAAAGACATGCATCAGAAATGAGTCTTACTAAGGATCTTTCCTCACAATTTACTACTAACTTGTTTCACCGTCCTACTTCACGGGATCTCCGATCATATAGAACAGGTTATCACTATAGTAAATTTCAAGTGGGTCTCAAACCCATCTCTCTCGATGCACTTTCTATCACGTTGCGTGATAGACCCTTAGTGAACTGATTTGCCAGATTGTTAGATGTGTGGACGTAGTCCAATGCTATTACTCCAGAGTTTCTCAATTTTCTGATAGATTTCAGTCGTCTCTTAACATGCCTTGTGGACTTCATGTTGTCCTTAGAACTGTTAACCTTTGTAATCACAGTCTGGTTATCGCAGTTCACAGAAATAGTCGGTATGGGTTTTTCAACGACCAGAAAATCCATAAGGAGATCACGAAGCCACTCAGCCTCAGATCCAACAGTGTCTAACACTGTGAGTTCTACTTCCATTATAGACTTCGTTAAGATAGTCTGCTTGCAAGACTTCCAGGAAACAGCGCCACCGCCAAGCGAAAACACATATCCACTTGTGGCATAAAGCTCATCAGCATCAGAAATCCAGTTGGCATCACAATAGCCTTCCAGCACTTTTGGATGTCCGGTATAACAAATACCATAGCTCATGGTCCCTTTTAGGTAGCGCATTACTCTCTCAAGAGCATGCCAGTGATCATCTCCCGGGTTTGACACAAACCGGCTCATCTTGCAAAAAGCAAATGAGATGTCAGGCCTTGTTGCACTAGCAAGATACATGAGCGAACCAATGATCTGGGAATATCTCAACTGATCCGTTGCTATTCTCCGATTTTTCCTCAACAGCACACTAGGGTCATAAGGTGTAGGAGCTGGTGTATAGTCACTAAACCCAAAGTGACTCAGCACCTTTTCCACATAGTGGGTTTGTAACAGAGTTACCCCCACCATCACCTTCTCTCAGAAGCTTGATATTAAGAATAACATCAGCATCTCCCAAATCTTTCATCTCAAAATTTTTAGATAGAAATTCCTTCACCTCCTCAATGACTTTGAGGCTAGATCCAAAGATCAGTATGTCATCAACATATAAGCACAAAATGACTCCTTCACCCCCACCATACCGATAGTACACACATTTGTCAGCTTCATTCACAACAAAGCCAGCAGATGTTAAAGTTCTGTCGAACTTCTCATGCCACTGCTTAGGAGCTTGTTTTAGGCCATATAATGACTTTAATAATTTACACACCTTGCCTTCTTGACCATTTGCTACCAACCCATCAGGCTGATCCATATAGATCTCCTCCTCCAACTCTCTGTTTACGAAAGCTATCTTAACGTCCATTTGATGAACGATAAGACCATAAGAGGCTGCCAGGGGAAAGCAAAACTCGAATTGTGGTCAATCGGGCAACTGGTGAATAAGTATCAAAGAAATCCTCACCTTCCTTTTCAGTATAACCCTTGGCCACAAGCCTTGCCTTGTACCTCTCAATAATACCATCAGGCCTAAGCTTTTTCTTGAACACCCATTTGCACCCTATAGGTTTGCACCCATAGGGACGATCAACAATTTCCCAAGTTCTATTAGACATAATAGAATCCATCTCACTCCGTACTGCTTCCTTCCATAAGTCAGCATCAGGAGAGGAATATGCCTCTTCATTGGTCATTGGTGTGTCATCCACAAGGTACACAATATAGTCATCACCAAAAGACTTTGCAGTCCTCTGTCTCTTACTTTTTCTGGTGACTATAGTGTCATCCTCCTCAGGATTTTGCACATAGGGTTCCTCAATTTGTTCTATCGGAATAAAGTTTTCATGCTCATGGGGAATTATAAATTCATGACCAGTTGTGCTAGGTGCATTTTTCATGGGAAACTCATTCTCAAAAAATGTAGTGTCTCTAGATTCCATGATTGTATCAACAGCCATCTCAGGAACACTAGAGTTTATAATTAAAAATCTATAACTCACGCTGTGAATAGCATAACCAAGAAAAACACCATCAACAGTCTTTGGTCCAAGCTTTCACTTTTTGTTTGTTGGCACATTCACCTTTGCCAAACAACCCCAAGTTCGTAGGTAAGAGAGATTTAATCTCTTCTTCTCTCATTCCTCGAATGGTGTAATTTCTTTGTTCTTTCTGGGCACTCTATTCAGGACATGACACGCTGTCAAAATAGCCTCACCCCACCATTTTGTAGATAGTCCCGTAGTCTCCAACATGGCATTAACCAAATCAGTTAGAGTGCGGTTCTTTCTCTCTACAATCCCATTGGACTGTGGTGAGTATGGTGGCGTCCTCTCATGAATAATTCCAACCACAGTCGATGCAGGATGATGTTCGCAGTGCAGTCCCACGAGCAGATCACCAGGAAGAAGACGCCTTGACATTCCAGGGAGAAGACGGATCCAAGAGCGATCTCCAGCAGGAAGAAGATGGACGAGCAGTCGCGGATCGCTCCCCAAAAACCTAATCGCCGCTCACCCCGTGCAGGATTCTCAGGTGGCCGAGGATTCCGGAGGCACCTACTCTCCCGCTCCTCCGTGCGCGCAGAGGTACGGGACGGGAAAGTCAGAAGGCTGCTAATCTGTGGTTCTCTCAGGAGTGGTTTTGGAAGACGGGGGCTGGACTGACGGAAGACAGGAAATATATGGTTGCTGCGGGGAAGAGAGAGAGGCAGCGGAGAATTTCAGGAGACGGAAACGGAAGCGGAAGGGACGGTAACTAACGCAATCAGTTTGCCTCCACCATCAAAGGGAGTAACTCCCGTGATTATATGGATTAAGTGGCAAAAGACTGGCCACGCCCGCCTGCTCGCTCGCCGCCCGCCTCTCCACGCCCACGGGCCGGCGGCGCGCGTGCGTGTGGCACGCCTTTATCCTTTTTTTAGCTTCTCAATTTAGATGAATAATTTCCAACCATATAAGCTGAGTCAGCGTTCAGTCAAAATCCCGTATGGTATTAAGCCATACAACATTTAATGTTACGTACCATAGAGTTTTATTTGATTTATTAAATATTATATGGGCCAAGCCCATATTATATCGAACAGCATATGAAATGATATTGTATAAATATTTTATCTAAAAAAAGATGAAATGATATTGTATTGTTTGTAGATTCAAATAATAGCACAAGGGCCCGCGACATGGAGGGAATAAGGTACAATGTCTTGACTCAGGACGACCTCCGCGTGCGGCAAGAGGTGGACACGCACAAGGTGGGCGAATTGCTGTCCATCGCCCCGGGGCTCGCCGCGGTCCTCCTGCGCCACTGCCAATGGAGACCCGAGCGCGTCCAGGGCGGGTGGTTCGACAACGGGGAGGCGTTTCACGTCGCCGTTGGCCTGCCATCGTCGGAGGACGACGTCTCCGGTCCCAGGGTGCTCACAGACCGCACGCCCAACTGCCGATGCTTCGACGGCAGCCCCGGCCGGCCGTCTAGATCGTCGGGTTGCTCCCACTACTACTGCGACGAGTGCTGGCGCAGGTACATCCGCTTGGCGATGGACGACAAAGGCCCGCGGTGCCTGCCGCTGCGGTGCCCGCACCCGTCATGCGTGGTGCCCGTCGTGTGGGAGCTAGTCGTCGATGTGGTCCACGACGCCGACGCGGACACCATGCTGGCCCTGTACGATCAGTTCATGCTCCTGTCCTACGTGGATGACAGCGGCGGCAGGATCCAGTGGTGCCATGGCCGCGCTTGCAGCCGTGCCGTCGAGTTTCTCGGCAGCAGCGATGGCGATGATTCTGCTTCCACGGACGTGTTGTGCGAGTGCAGGCACGGCTTCTGCTGGACATGTGGCAAGGAGCCTCACCGTCTGGTGTCGTGCGACGCGGCGCGAGCATGGGTGGACGAGAATAGGCCGCTGCAGGCTTCGCTGGACGACCTGAAGAGAGCTACTGGTTCGAGAACATGGCCACTGATCTGGGCATCGAGGTGACGGACCTCGATTTCGTGACCCAAGCGTAGGAGGAGATCGCCGAATGCCGGCTTAGGATCCGGAGCGTGACAGGAACAAGTGCGAGCTGTTCGGCTGCTTGCTCAAGGAAGCCAAGGATTCGCTCGACAGCCTGCAGCTCTGCGCCGAGCAGGAGAAAGAGAAACTGACGCTCTGCAACACCGACGTGGTAGCCATTGCCGAGACGTACTCGGCCTCCAAGAAGACGGTCATGGACCACACCAGAGAGACGCGGCAGCACTTCGACAGTCTGGTGAAAGCGGCCGAGACCCATTTTCAAGACTAATGCTTCGGTTTGATATTGTTCATCCATAATTCTGCTGCTTAGTACTTGTTTATTTTGGACATATAGAAAATAAATGTACACCTGCGTTCCATATATGTCTCATGTCTCGGAGTGGGTCTTGCTTAAATAAGCAAAGTGCTTTGTTTGTCATCAAATATATGTTCACATGTCCCGGTTGATTGGCCAACCTCCTAGGCGTCGGGCTTTCCTTTCCCAAAAGCCAATCAAAAGAGTGCAAAGCCATAGATGCTTTGGCTCAAAAGCCGGTTTACCTCGGGTACAAATCCAAAAGCAGGCTTCTTCCTGCTTTGGCGTTTTTCATTTTTCCTCTCCTATACCGTCTGAGCGTCTCTTCCACGTGGTATGCTGCCGCCCCAACACTAGGATTTCCGCCGGCGCGACTCATCCCCAGCCGGACACCGTAACCCTAGCCGCCGCCTGCACCCCCCCACCCCCCCACGGCTGTTCGCTCAGGCCCTCCCACCGATCCACACGCACGGCAGCTCCCTCCCCTCCCATCGATTCGCACGCATGGGCCATGGTCGCCTCTCTGCGCTCTAGGAGGGCGGCGGCGAGAACAACCACGCGAGTGTTAGCTAAATTGTTGCATCATTCGGTTAGGATTTCGTTGTTAAGTCGTCAAGTCATAGGAGTCTAGTCGAGTTAGCAGATTGGGCGTGGCCAGAGGCGTGCTTGGGCACGACACGATCTGGAGTTCTCGGTCGGTAGGCGTCACGACGTATGCCGCAGCACGTGGTGCGCGTCCCGGTGAAACGGCGTGGCACACGGTGTGCGGCGTGGCGCGGGGATATGCGGAGACGTGTTCCGTGATCCCATCTATCATTATAAATAAGAAACAATAGAGGCCGGAGAAGCCGCGATGTTTTGGCAATGCATTATTCTCTCACGATCTTGTTCCATCTGTTACTCAGCCACCGCGGTCACCACTCCAGTGGCGCGTCGCCGTCGAGGCCTGAGCTCGAGGACCCAGGGCAACGCCTAGTTCCAACAAGTGGTATCGGAGCCGTTGGTTGTCGAAAGAGGAGGCGTGTGGTGGCGGTGAGCATTTGGAGAAGGTTGCCAGTTGAAGGTTTCGCCGGAACATTGAAGAAAGGAGAGCGCGAACTCGAGCATCGTCGAGATGGGTTCAGGCACCTCGGGTGAAAAAGAATCCATGGACCGGGCATTCAATCAAGCCACGGGGAATTTGGTATGGCCGCTGCTGACTCGTACGAATTATCAAGAGTGGTCGTCTCACATCCAGTGCAATCTGGAAGGGATGTTTCTTTGGGATGCCATTGATGAAGCCGATTCTGCAAAGGTGGAGAGACATCGAGATCGCTTGGCACTCGGTGCCATGCTTCGCGGCGTACCACAAGAGATGCACTCCATGCTCCTGAACAAGAAAACGGTGAAGGAGGCATGGGAGTCAATCAAGACCATGCGTCTTGGAGCAGATCGTGTTAAGGAGGTCAACGCCCAAAAGCTTCTAGCTGAGTTCGAATCCATCGCATTCAAGCCGGGTGAGGCCATTGATGATTTTGTGATTCGCATCACAAAGCTCGTCACGGATCTGCGAGGGCTTGGGGAGGAGAGCATCACCGACGTACGTGTGGTGAAGAAATTCCTTCGTGTGGTGCCGTCTAGGTACAGTCAAGTCGCGGTGGCGATTGAGATGTTCAAAGATCTAAAGAAACTGTCGATCTAGGAGCTTGTGGGTCATCTTCGGGCAGCAGAAGAGAGGTTTGAGCCCTCGGTGGAGCAGGTGACAGAGAAGACTGGAAAACTTCTCCTAACAGAAGAGGAGTGGGCAGCCTAGAATAAACAACATTCGTCGGACTCGACCTCGTCTTCTGGAGGCAAAGGCGGCGGGCAGTATGTGAAGAAGGAGCGATCCGGATCCGGGGCACGCGGCGGCGGTGATGCGCGTGACTCCGGTGGGAAGCAGCTCACGTCGATGGGAACCCCACGGCGGAAAGGTAGATGTCGCAAGTGCAACATCTATGGGCACTTTGCAAAAGAGTGCAAAACGAAGGCAAAAGAAGAACGACAAGAGGCTGCTCATCATGCCAATGTCGAGGCAGAACCAGCTCTGATGGTGGCGCACGTTTGCAACATCAAGAGGCTGAGCACGCCAGTGACGCAGCATGTGTTCCTGAATCAGGAACGCGTATTCCCGGCGGAATACCACGAAGGAGCGTGGGTACTAGACACGGGCGCCACGAACCATATGATGGGGCACCGAGAAGCCATGGCGACTCTGGATGAGACGGTCCAGGGCGCAGTGATGTTCGGTGATGGGTCGATAGTGGAGATTCACGGGATCAGTGTCGTAACGATCGCCGGAAAGAACAATGACCATCGAGTTCTCACAGAGGTATAATTTATTCCATCTCTTAAGTGCAATATTGTTAGCCTTGGTCAGCTCGAAGAAGGGGGATGCTGGGTTGAAATCGATCACGGTATTCTGGAAGTGTTTGAGCGGCAACAGGGTGGACAGGAAAAGCGTGGAGTGTTAATTAGGGCGGAGAGGAAAAATCGCTTGTATATCATGAAAGTGAATCTTACTTCGTTTGTATGTCTACTAAGCAAGATGGATGAAGTGGCTTGGCTATGGCACGCACGGTATGGGCATCTCAACTTCAGATCACTTCGTGATCTCGGTGTGAACAATCAGTCGAGTTGAACAAGTTTGCGACGGTTGTGCACTTGGGAAGCAGCATCGCACTCCTTTCCCTCAAGTTTCGGCGTACCGTGCTAGTGGAGGCCTTGATCTGGTTCATGGTGATCTATGTGGACCGATCACACCACCTACGCCAGGTGGAAAATTGTATTTTATGTTGATCGTGGATGATCACAGCCGCTACATGTGGCTGGAATTGTTGGCAACCAAGGATGAAGCGCTGAGCAGTTTCAAGAAGATAAAAGTGGGAGCTGAAGTTGAATCAGGCCATCGTCTGAGGGAGTTCAGAACTGACCGGGGTGGTGAGTTTATTTCCGGTATGTTTGTTGCTTACTGCAATGAACAAGGGATCAAGCGGAATACCACAACGCCATACTCTCCACAGCAAAATGGAGTGGTGGAACGACGCAATCAAACTGTCGTGGAGATGGCTCGATGTCTGTTAAAGAGTATGAGTGTGCTGGGAAAATTCTGGGGAGAAGCGGTAAAAGCAGCTATCTACTTGTTGAATCGGTCGCCAACAAAGAGTTTAAATGGCAGGACTCCGTTTGAGGCTTGGTTCGGGAGAAAACCGAGTGTGCGGCACCTCCGTACGTTTGGCTGTACGGCATTTGCAAAGCGTATAGGGCCAAGTGTAAACAAACTGGCAGATAGATCGATACCGGGGGTGTTCCTTGGTTATGAATCGGGGACCAAAGGCTATAGAGTGTATGATCCAGTCAACAAGAAGTTGATAGTGACTAGGGACGTGATTTTTGATGAGAAAAGAAGATGGAATTGGGAGGAGAAAGCAGCAGGCCAGAGCGAATTGGCACCACAGTTCTCAGTCGTGTATGCAGATGAAGTGCTGGATGGCACTGTTCACAGTCCAGCAATAGAGCCAACACAGCTCGCTGATCAGGATCTCGATGCGGGAGTGCCGTCTTCACGTGCCACAACAATTCCATCAGAGGGGGGTGCTCCGGGTACGCCACCTCACACGCCAACCGGGTCAATTGTGGGATCAACACTGCAGTCAGCACCGCAGATACAATGGGCGACACCATCGACAGGAACTTCGGTTGATTCAGAAGGCATTCCAATGAGGTACAGAATGATACCCGATTTGCTTGATTCCACTGATGAAGTTCAGGGTTTTGAGTACAGTGGCTTGTGTTTGGTCGCCTCTGAGGAACCAGCTACAGTTGAGGAAGCGTTGTCAAAGAGTTGCTGGAGACAGGCCATGGAGTCTGAAATGAAGGCAATCGAGGACAACAAGACATGGGTGGTTAGTGATCTGCCAGCAAATCAAAAGGCCATTGGGTTAAAGTGGGTTTTCAAAGTTAAAAAAGACCCAACAGGTAATATTATCAAGCATAAAGCAAGGTTAGTGGCAAAGGGCTATGCTCAGAGACATGGAGTAGATTTCGATGAGGTATTTGCTCCGGTTGCCAGAATTGAAACAGTGAGGGTGTTGTTGGCGCTTGCAGCTCAAAGTGGATGGGAAGTACACCATATGGATGTCAAGTCGGCATTATTGAATGGAGACTTAACTGAAACAGTTTATGTTCAACAGCCTCCGGGTTTCAACATGGGTAATGGAGGAAAAGTACTGAAATTGAAAAAGGCGCTATATGGCTTGAAGCAGGCACCTAGGGCCTGGAATGCGAAGCTTGACAAGGAGCTGATAGCTCTTGGTTTTGTGAAGAGCAAGCTCGAACAGGCTGTGTACAACAGGAGCAACAAGAAGTCTCTCTTGCTTGTCGGGGTTTATGTCGATGACTTAATCATTTCCGGGCCAAATGTCAGGGACATTAAAAATTTTAAGCAGGAAATGAAGAAGAAATTCAGTATGAGCGATCTTGGGTTGTTGAGTTACTACCTGGGAATAGAAGTGAAGCAAGGAGAACATGGGATCACTTTGTGCCAAAGTGGTTACACAACCAAGATCTTGGAGTCTGTGGGAATGACAAATTGCAATCCTTGTGCAACACCCATGGAGGCTCGGCTCAAGCTCAGCAAGAAGAATGAGGGAGAAGTTGTGGATCCTACAGCATATAGAAGCATCATAGGGAGCTTGAGATATCTTGTCAACACTAGACTGGACATAGCCTTCGCGGTCGGTGTTGTGAGTAGATATATGGAAGGTCTAGGCAAAGAACATTGGGCTGCAGTAAAACACATACTCAGGTATCTGAAGGGAACCGTGAGGTTTGGCTGCAAGTATGCAAGAAACTCTGAACTAAAACCGTTTTTGCTGGGGTTCAGTGACAGTGATTTCGCCGGTGATGTAGAGGACAGGAAGAGCACTACTGGGGTTGTTTACTTTCTCGGTAAG